TTTGGGGAAAATAGTTTAGCTACTTGTGCATAGTTTACCTTTACATTCTGCTAGTATGTAATTTTCAATTTTCTTTGATCTTACAGGTGCGTCAGGTTTGCATCTGAGGTTGCTGGTGTTCAGGACCTGGGTATGTTAGGCCGTGGCAGTGGTGAAGAAATCGGAACATATGTGGGGAAACTTATGACAAGTGAACTATCTGGAAACGTTATTGATATCTGCCCCGTTGGAGCTCTTACATCCAAGCCATTTGCATTTAAAGCTAGGAACTGGGAGATGAAGGGCACTGAGACTATTGATGTTACTGATGCAGTAGGGTCCAACATACGTGTTGACAGCAGAGGTCCTGAAGTTATGCGCATTGTTCCTCGTCTCAATGAGGTTTGCTTATTCTCTGCTTCTTTGTAACTTTGCCTGTTTTGTACGGTCATACTGCCTGATACTTCATGGTAATATTACTATATTAAGTTATTAACCATGTTGTGAACCCCCAGAAGCCATAACATATGCTAAGTCTGCCGTAAAAGGTTGCCTAGCGTATGAAGAAGGCTTGTAGGCACTAGGCACCACCCTCCTACCTTAAGTGCGACTGTCTAGCCCATGTAATCAGTAACTAGGTGCTAGGCGATACCTCCTGCCCTTCTAGTGCCTATGCTTTTGGGAACATTATAAATGTTACAATATGGTAATTACGGAAATTTCTGTCATGCTTTCTCAGAATGGCATCCATAACTCTTGTCGAAAGATTGTTCAATGTTGTTAAATGAACATCCAAATTACTGTGTGTGCTTAAATTATTAGGTTAACTGCTCCATATGCATTAAACTGTTATTTAACAGTTAAACCGTTGTATTATTACCAACTAAAAAGCACGGTTACGGGGACGGAAAGACGGGGATGCGCATACGGGGATACGGCATTTTTCAAAAACAGCCATTCGGGGATACGGCGAGTATATATAAAATAAAATAAAAATATGCCATGTAATATACATTTAAGACAGAAAATTAATGAGAAAGAGATGAGAATAGAGAATAGTGCCCCATTTGGTGTCTCTTTTATCAAGTGCTTGATTGATCCTCATTCCCCCATGTCATGTCGTCATTGCAAGCTGCATCCATCTTGCAAAACACATCAAACACAAACAGTAAAGAAGGTTAGAAGATTAAAAGACAAGACATAATTGGAAGACAATACAAGCATGAGCAGCAGCAGCACCAGCATAAGCGGCAGCACAAGCAAGCAGCAAGCCAGCAAGCAACATCCAGCAGCACAAGCAAATCTGAAGAATAAAAGAGGTTGAGGAAAGAGGAGAGGGGAGAGGCTGCTGGGTTACATGCGAGGCTGCGGGTAGCGCCAGCGGTCGCCGGTCGAATCCAGGCGTCGCCGGCGGCGGCGGCTTCGATCTGGGAGGCTGGCGGCGCGTTCCAGTGTTACCTGGGAGGCTGGGAGGGAGCAGCTCGTCCTTGAGACGAGAGCGTGCGGGAGTTCCTGCAAATAGGTTAGGTATACTGGGTTGGGTCGAGGCTGTTTTGGGCCAGGCCGTGTCCCAAATGTATCCTGCACGTGTCCCGGCGTATCCCTGTGTTTTTTCTCTTTTTTAAAAAATAAAAAATCGGGGGATACTGCAAAGTTCGCGAATCCTGGCGTATCCTCGTATCCCGCCGTATCAGAACGGCAGTTCGGCACTTCCAGCCGTGTCTGTGCCTTTTAGATTACCAATGCTGCCTCTCCCATACAGTGACATGTTACCTTGGTATATTTTGTAATATTAGTAGCTTGACAGTGCTCCCAGGATTTGTTCTTCTTGCAGAGTCATATTGTAACTGAATGCATTTGTCATAGCGTATCTTATTTGCTTCCACTGTTTTTGAGTCGAATAACTAGTCATGACTAGTCGACGAGTCGTAACTGAAAGTCGACTCAAATCATTGGCTGAGTCGAGCGACTCGATCGACTAGTCGCGACTAGTCCAGGTTTTGGAGTCGAACTTCTAAAAGCTGGCCCCGCCTGTCTATTTTTTTTGCTTGCCCAATCCCCCCATGAAACCTAGATCGAGACTAGTTTTCCCCTGATCGAAACCTACCCTGCGACCCTCTCCCTTGCCCCTTGGCCGGCGGCGTCGCAAGCTGGTTGCTGCTGCTCCCCCTCCTCCCCTGGTTGCTGGCTTGCTGTTGCTCATCCCCTGTACCTATTGCTTAACTCATGTCAACTAGTCGACCATGAGTCTAGATTATTCACGACTAGTCAAGAGTCGCTACCCCAGAACGACTCGTCGACTCCAAAACATTGTTCCTGATTCTGGACCTAAAAGAGATGGTAGTAAATGTTGGTGTACTGTGAGAATATAATACAACATAATTTAAAGTGCTCTTTCATACTTTTGTTATGTAATTTGCTTAAGGAATGGCTAGTTGACTGAGCCTTCCATCCTTAGCCTGCTAATTTATTTGCTATGAACATGAAAACCCAATTGAGCATATTTTTATCATTGCAGGATATCAATGAAGAATGGATATCTGACAAAACACGGTTTTGTTATGATGGTTTGAAGAGGCAAAGACTAAATGACCCTATGATTCGTGGTCCTGATGGCAGGTTCAAGGCAGTGACATGGCGTGATGCTATTGCGGTTGTTGCTGAGGTTTTGAATCAAGTCAAGCCAGAAGAAATTACTGGAGTCGCTGGCAAACTTTCTGATGCAGAATCCATGATGGCGCTGAAAGATTTTATTAATAAAATGGGTTCGGATAAGGTGCTCTGTGAGGGGAATGGCCCAAATCCACCAGCAGATATTCGATCAAACTACCTAATGAATACTAGCATTGCTGGTCTTGAGAAAGCTGATGTCTTCCTTTTGGTTGGCACACAGGTAAAACTCTGGTTTTCTTGCTCATGATCATTTCTCAGTTGCTTTCCTTATCTAACAATATGCTTAGTTTGGTGTTCTGGTAGTGTATAATCCTCTGTTCTTGGATGTGCAACTGCTTGAAAGCATCTTTTAGAGCCATTGCGGCAATATCTTGCTAGAGTTTATAAAAACAACCCCGTAATAGAAATATTCCATGACACATCACAACATAACATGTTGAGCACAAAGTAACCTCTAATTATATACCATTGCTAGTGGTGTTTTTCTTTCCAATAGCTAGTAGTATACTAGTAATAATGCAGCTGATGTTTCTAAAGAATTGCGGTTACTTTCTTCAAGCGTAACGTAGCAATGAACCACCATTAAGTAGACGAATTTATTTGTGAGTAATATCCAACTTGTGAGACCAAGGGAATTGAGATGTGCTGTTTGTCCTTCATATCTTTTGTCACCCCTTCTTTTCGGTCATCCAACTATTCTGAGTAACATTTTTTGTTTGCCTCCATAAAACAGCCAAGGGTGGAAGCTGCTATGGTGAACGCAAGGATTCAGAAGACTGTTAGAGCAACACAAGCAAAGGTGGGCTACATTGGTCCTCCAGCAGACTTCAACTATGACACTTGGCATCTTGGCACAGGGCCAGATACCCTTGTCGAGATCGCCGAGGGCCGACATCCTTTCTGTTCAATACTGAAGTCTGCAAAGAACCCAGTAATCATCGCTGGAGCTGGGTTATTCGAACGAGAAGACCAAGGTGCTGTGTTCTCAACAATTGAAACCGTAGCCAAGAAGTTCAATGTGACGAGACCAGACTGGAACGGGCTTAATGTCCTATTGCTCCATGCTGCACAGGCCGCAGCTCTTGATCTGGGCCTCGTCGCTAATCCTACCGAGAGCGTCAAGTCTGCAAAGTTCCTTTACCTGATGGGAGCCGATGATGTGAACTTGGACAACCTTCCAGCGGATGCATTTGTTGTTTACCAGGGCCACCATGGTGACAAGGCCGTGTACAGGGCCAATGTTATTCTGCCATCTTCAGCATTTAGTGAGAAAGAAGGCACTTACGAGAACACTGAGGGTTGCACCCAGTGGACCATCCCAGCTGTGCCTACAGTTGGTGATGCTAGGGATGACTGGAAGATCGTCCGTGCTCTTTCCGAGGTTGCCGGGGCGCCACTGCCCTACGACAGCGTCGCAGCTGTGAGGAGCCGGATTAGTATGGTGGCCCCAAATCTTGTGCGCGTTGACGAGAGGGAGCCTTCGGTGATCTCTGCCGAGGTGAAGCCTCCGGTGAAGCAGCAAGTGAGCCCGGCTCCATTCAAAGCTGCCGTGGAGAACTTCTACATGACCGACGCGATCACACGGGCTTCCAAGATCATGGCTCAGTGCAGCGCAACCTTGAAGAAGTGAGGTCCTACTCTATGTTACGCCCCCTTGAAGAAGTTAAATCATCGGCATACGAGATTTTAGTTGCTTTTTCCATTTCACTCACCAGTTGTTGCTTGGGAGTATAAATTTGGGCTGCCTCTACCCTAGCTAGATCCGAGGAGCAGCGAAACTTGAAAGCAGTGCATTTTTCTGTAACGTGTGAGAAGCGGAGCATACTTAATAAGCTTGTTTTGTCCTTTTGAATTAGACGGCAGCCGCAAGCAAATAATTTTGTTGTATTTGGGTTTTCGCCTGCTCGTTTCACGGTTCCAGGGTGCAGGCGAATGTAGCTGTATGTGCAAATTAAGGTATACCCCATTTTATCATTCACTGGTGTGTTGAATGGCACATAGTTTTGGATCTCCCGTTCTCTTCCTTGGATCATTAGCTTGCATGTTTTGCCGTGGTGCTTGTTTGGCTGATTGGTTTTCATTGGTACGTACTCCCTACTTGTCTCGGATATGAATGTATCTAGAACTAAAATACATCTAGATGCATCCATTTTTGCGACAAGTAATTCCGAACGGAGGGAGTAGCAGCTAACAAAAATTCTGATCTGCGTAATGATGATACATCTCGTCCATGGCAGCAGAAAGCCAAGGTGAAGCTCCTTGTGCTAATAATACTGCGAACGAATGCGACCAAACAAAACCGCGCCTTATCCTCCCAACCAAGGCTCATCGCGCCGCGCCCCAGCATCATGAGCAGCGTCACTGCCACCGGCATCTCGCAGTCCACCGGCCCGTGCCTCCTGCTTCGCCAACACCACCGCCGGCGAGTGGTGCCGCGGTCCCTATTCCGGCGGCAGCCGCGCGGGCACACGACTGCCCGGTGGGCGTGCGGCGCCAGGAGGCGGGTGAGGTACGAGGAAGAGGAGGACGAGGAGGAGTACGGGCACAACGAGGAGATGGCGCGGCTGGAGACCTACAGCGAGGGGGCGCGCGACGTGGCCCTCCTCGTCACGGCCGCCGTCGACGGCGAGCTTGAGTCCGTGCTCGTCTTCAAGGTACTCCCTCCGTCCGGAAATACTTGTCATTAAACTGGATAAAAAGAAATGTATCTAGATGTATTTTAGTTCTAGATACGTCTATTTTTATCCATTTTGATGACAAATATTTCTGGACGGAGGGAGTACTCCGATACCGATCGACCAGCGCACACTGATGCGCGTTGCTTCTTCTACACTGATGCGCGTTGCTGTTGTGCGTGGTGGCAGGGCTTCTCGTCGAGCCTGAGCGGGAGGACGGCGCCGGACCCGGCCATGAGCGTGCTCCCGGAGAGGGCCGTCATACAGTCCGTCGACGTGGTCAAGGGGCCGTTCGACCCCGACAACATCGAGTACCTCGAGAAGGATTTGTCATGGGAAGAATTCAAGAGCCGACTCCAATAGCCAAACATGTATCACCTCTGTTTTGAATCACAAGACGTTTTTGGATATGTCAATATGGACTACATGCGAACTAAAATGAGTGCACAGACACACAAATGCGTCTATATACATCTGATTCATAAGGAAGTTAGAACATCTTATATTTCGGATCGGATGGAGTAGAACAAACACACAAATTTGTCTCACTGGAGGATCATGGGGAGGCATCAACTGAACAAAGAATACATCATCTGTATTAATATCGATACGAATCATACAGGAGGCCAAAGGATGGCCAAAGAAGCAACGGTGTCTGTCCATGTCTCGGTGGTAGCCACAAAACAACACTCGGCAACAAAGCCCGTGTACAAAGCATATGCAAAACGAATGGAGCATCTCTACTACACATGTTCTATCTGTTCCAGCCGCGAACGCTCTATCGGATCAGATCAGATCATTTCCATGCAACCGAGTCGATCTCGTTCCTCGCGGACTTGTACAGCTCCAGCTTCTTCACGAGGGAATCCCTCTTCTCCATCAACGCGGGATCCTCGTCCAGCATCGCGCTCAGCTGTTTCTTCTGTGTTGTGGAAACAAGGACAAATGGAGGGAAAATGAGAATGATGCTTTAGTACAACGCCCAGGAGGTTGCTATAATACTTATGCAAATGCAAATCAACACAAGGTTACAAAATACACAAAATTAAAGTCTGGTGAAATTTTTCAATTTACCCACTGACTGGTGCGTGGGTAAACAGAAGTGGAAGATCAAATGCATCTCTGTATTTATGTGCGAAAATAGTAGATTCAGTAAGTAGTCAGCAAAAACATACCTCTTTGCTTCCTACATGCGCATAGAAACGGTTGAGCAAGTTTCTTTTTGCCTCCTTCACTTGGCAATGCACAACGGCTTTCGGAATTGTGTTCCTCAATGTATCGCAAACCATGTTGATGTAAGATGATACATTCGATCCTGAAATTAAGGGACGGCGTCATTAATACTGCTATATTGTAAACTGCTGTCGACTCTGTTAAGGTGTATACATAGTGATTGACTCGGTTAACATGGATAGTTTATCTACACTAGAATCAAGATGCATAGGCGAGTTTGTCCTTCATCATGTGCAATTATTCCAAGCGCTTAGGTTTCACAGCACAAACTACATGATCCTAAACAAAGGTTGACTACTACTTCCTCCATTTTGCTGTTCGTTCAAAAATATTTGTCAATTGAGAGAATAAAAAATATTTGTCCATTGAGAGAATCAAGAGTAGTTTAATGCAATACTTTCTATACTCAATTCTACGATGATGCTTTGAAGAAGTTAATATGCGATCTGAAGATAGATATAGCGAAACGCATGCTGTTTGGAAGGCAGAAATTTCACATGAAACATGAACCATGAAAAAATAAAAGCAATGCAAACAGGGCCTAAAGCTGGATGTACCACCAGCTACTGCTAATTGGTTGTCTGGATATAAAATTGATTCACATGAACTTGTTTGATCTGTCATTTGAGGACTTCATTGCCTTGGTGTGTTCATCCTAAAACAGTAGTCCCTTGAAAGGATTGAATAGTAACTTACCGATTCTTCTAAGATGGTTGTCCTGATATCTGTCGTTGGCCGGAGTGTTGTTGTTAGCTCCTTTGTCTGGTTCAGTAGGAAGTTTCCTGAAGAACTCTACGGTTAGGTAACTGGCCTCCATGTCAACTAGACGAATAACTGTCTTTCGGCCATCCTCACGGAATCTTTCTAGGCTTTCATTTGCTGCTGCAGCTATATCTGATTGAAGCGTTGGGAAACGCTTTAATTCCTGGCACAGTCAAGGTAGCCATGATATATAAGAAATGAGAAACAGTCCAAGGGAGGAGTGACGTTTGGCAATCACTCATCCATAACCAAAGTTCACCAAAAAAAACAAAAAACACTCACCTCTGTTGCTGCAATCGATCTCCGGACTAGCTCCTTCAATACCAAATGGACCTGCAAATTATGAGACCATCAGCAAGTGCATGTAGCTAACAAAATTATGCTCCCCAAAAAGCATTGCTATCAGATATCCTCCTTTATTTTTCAAAAATGAGAAATGTGAAAATTCCTCTCTCGCTCTAGTCTCATTGCTTCCACATTTGAACATGCAACAAACTTACTAAACCATTCCTACTTCGACAAGATAATGGTTCACTGCTATGTAACTTCACATACCCATCCATAAATTGCTCTTTGAATTAATCGAGATAATCACATGAAATGACATCTCTGTGTATGTACTTGAGATGTCCCTATTATACTACTTCAGAAGTTTCTCATAGTCCAGCAATATCCTGAATTAACTTTATAATGAATAAATACCATAAGATAGAACCTAGACTCTACATGAGAAAAGTAGTTAAGTTGGTATGTTTACATATCAGTTACTGAAACATGACCCAGTTGCTTAAACATTAAGGGGAGCCATGGATAAAAAAGTTATACCGCATCAACTGAAGCTTCAGCTGGGCCCCTAAAGTAGCTGAGTGAACTATCTATAAGCCTTCTATAACCTTGCTCAGGGGCAATCAAATGGGGCTGGTAACCATCAGCCTCAGAAATGACTTTCCGAACATTTTGCAGCGAAAGATGTTTATCGAAAGGAAGCTTTTTCAGTGCTGCAGGTAACTGGTGGTCAAAGACACCATAAATGCGATCTCCACCTGGTCGACTGGTAACAATGATAAAGAAAGGTAAATTATTAGAAGCATTCTTCCAAACAAAAAGGGAAAGCATGCTTGCAGTTTCTTCACCATATATCTAGGAAGCATGTACAAAATGTAAGGCATCATTATCAAAGGAAAAAGTCACATGTACAAAATGGCTAGTTGAACATCTTACCCGCCATCTAAGTGCTCTTTAAAAACACGGTCAAATGCGCGACACATGTCCAATATCGTATACAATTGTGCCTGTCGATTATGTTAAATGTATGAGAGAAATGCTATATAAAAGTTGTTCTGGAATCTAGAATGTGCTTGCCATTAACATCACTGTAAATGAACATTCCAAGCTGTGGCGCAAATTACTTTTCAGCTTTTATGTTACTACTATGGTAATTCTTACCCCAGCGTCACCTCCAATTGGCCTACCAAGTCGATCCAACTCAGCTTCAATTTCATCAACTGTCTTGTTGATCATTGATATAATACTTGGAATTTTGGCTTTGATCACAGCCTCTAAATGCTGGATAAATAAATGGACATACATCAGCAAACAGTTTATGCAAAATTGAAATTTTGGCGAAGTTAACAGAGAGAGCAAATGACCTAACCTGTGACAGAAGCTTAGCGAGATACTCGGCACCCATTTTATGTGCCAAGTGACCATAATCAGGACTACTTTGAAAGTACTCTTGTTCTTTGCGACGTGCTGCGAGCATGTCAACATTTTTGTTGATATCAGCCTGTGAACGGTTGACAATGCCCACCCAGGGGTGCTGCAAGCGATATGACCTCCCTTCGAGTACCTAGGGTCAATTAAGAAAGGAAGGTTTAAGTGATATGCTCTATGTTTTTAAAGCGTCCCTAAGGCGACGCCTAGGCGTCGAAGCGCTCTCCCTCCGCTTTGGAAAATCGACCGCTTTGGGCGCCTAGGCGTCCAAAGCGCCCGCCTAGGCGTCGCCTAGGCGCCAAAGCGCCCCCCCTCCCTAAGGCGGTAAGGCGTCGCCTTAAAAACATAGGATATGCTCATCGAGGATGAGTTCATAGCAATTGCAAGACCACATACATCAATAGCATTGGTACCCTTGTCCATCAAATCAAGTTTTGTTACAACTCCAAAGGTCCTTTCACCTGAAAATGGAAAGGGATGTCAAAAGAAAGAAAAGAAACTTGCCAGATTACCATGGCATGATAACGACAAAAGGTATATTTATAATTCTTGTTTTATGCAAAGTAGATTTGAAATGCTGCAGGAACAAAACTCAAACTGCACCTGTAGGATCCACTTCCTTAGCAAGCTTGATAGCATCTGATGTTGCTATATCTTGGTTTGCTGGAGAGATAGCTAATATAATAGAGTTTGGCTGAAGTTTCCAGACAAAGAAAAGAGGTCAAGAAAGTTATAGATTTTAACCAACAAAATGGTCAATCGTCTTTGCCTCATGTAATGATGTAAATAAAAACAGGACTCGCGATACAAATATAGCAAGAGACCAACAATGAATACAAACTTAAGACTGGTTCTTAATTTATTATACCAATCCTAGAAGGGAGAAAAATATGCCGAGACAGCACCATTATAATACCATGTTTATTTGAGCTACATTTACTTCATGAATATTCCGTGCTATGCTATGCCAGTTCTAAGCATTACTCATGTTTTAGCCTAATCAGTATAGCAAACCACAGCTGCGATTATTTTACCTTGTCAACATAAGTCCGGACCATGTTTTCAATATCTTGCACAATAGACTCTGGCTGCCCCTCTGTAGTAGATAGTTGCAGTTAGGATAGTTATATAATAATGCAATAAAGAATTTTATCCTGACCAAAGAAGAAGCAGCTAAGTCAATAAGGGAAACATTACCTACAGCAACCTTTGTCAGTCCAGGAAGATCAATAAGTGTCAAGTTAACAACTGCACAAAAAAGGTTCCAAATTAAGCTAGTTCAGAAGGTATAAATAAAATAACAAAAACTAAGACATCTAATCAGCACATAGAAATCTTTAGGAGTATGTGCAATATAGTGCAGCAGCATGAACACATTTTGCTAAAAAAAGGCTATAAATTTGAGAAGTAGATACACATCAACAAATCTAAACAAATACCCAAGTCTTACCATGTGGAGAATATATACTCAAATGGATAGGAACATTTGATATTGCTTTCGATTTTCCAGTCATGCGATCAGTTTCATCAGCAATCTCTTTCCTAACAGCAGCTGCATTAAGGTTTTAACAAAAAAATAACTTAACATCACCACAATATAAACAAACAAAAGGGCAGATCAGTAATCACATATGCTTTGATGTCTTACACTAATA